ATTCTGGATCATTACAATTTGCCATTGTTAAAGCTTAAGGGGGAGGGGAGGGGGGAAGGGGGAAGGGGGAGGGGGAAGGGAAGGAAGGGGAGAAGGAGAGGGAAGAGGAGGGGGGGGTAAGATGAAGGTAATGGAGAGGGAAGAGGAGGAAGGGAGGGGAGAGGAGAAGGAGAGGAGGGAGGAGGGGTAGAGGAGAAAGGAAGAGAGGAAAAGGAGGGGTGGAGGGAGGAAGAGGAGGAAGGGAGGGGTGGAGGAGAAGGAAGAGGAGAGGGAGATGGAGGAGGAGGGGAGGTGAAGGAAGAGGAGGAAGAGATGGAAGAGGAAGAGATGGAAAAGGGGGGAAGGAGAATGAAAGAGAGAGAGTGGGAGATGAAGATAATGAAGAGGCGAATGGATAGAGGGGAAATTGAGGGAGAGGGGGTGAGAGGGAGTGGGAGACAGCGAAGGAGAAGTAGGAGGAAAAAAAACGCAAAAAATCTAAGACAGAGAATCACGGGGTAGTGGCATGCCGCGGGGGGGGGTCCTGGAGGAAGAAGGCGAGACTGAGTGGGTGGTGGGGGTGGGGGGTGGTGGGGGGTGGGGGTAGGTGACACACGTGGCACGGGAAGGTAGGGAAGAGGGGCGGAGGGGAAAAGGAAGCGGGAGAGAAACAAAGGGAAGGGGAAATGAGGACAGGAAGGGGAAAAGAAAGAAGAAGGGAGGAAGGAGGAGGAGGGAAGGAGAAGGATGGAGAAGGGAGGGAGGAAGGAGGGAGGGAAGGAGAAGGATGGAGAAGGGAGGGAGGGAGGAGGAGGGAAGGGAGAAGGATGGAGAAGAGAGAGAAAGAGAAATGGGAGAAAGATAACGAAGGGAGAGAAGCAAAGAGATGGAGAAAGACGCACAAAAAAAAGAGAAGATAGAAGGATAAACCGAAAAATGCGAAAAAAAACATTATGTAATGTAAGGGGCGGAGGGAAAAAATAGGGGAAAGAGGGGGGAGGGAGGGGAAAAAGAGGGGAGGAAGCGGTGGGGAAAGAGGAGGGACATCGGAGTATCGGAAGGGAGGAAAGGTGGGAGAGAAAAGAGAAGGGAGAGTGGGAAGGAAAATGAAAGAGAGCAAGCAGGGAGGGGGAGAGGAGAGAAAAAGGAGAAAAGAGTGAAAAGGAGAAGGAAGAGAGAGAGAAGGGAGAGAATACATAGAGGACGAGAGAAAAAAAAAAAAACAAAAGAACAAAAAACAAAAAGAAAAAAAAACCGAAATACGACACGAAAAATAGAAGAAAAACAAAAAAAAATAAAAAATAAACACACCCCAGGACGTAAAACAAACAAACAAAAACAAAAAATAAAAAAATAAAATAAAATGAATAATAAATAAAAAGAGAGGCCTACAAACCCGACGGGAGACAGGCCGTGGCAGTGAACGAAGACAAATGCGTAGGCCTACATACGAAGGCTCTCTGCATTCCGGAAGTAGCAAAGGGAACGCACGAAGGTCTTCTGGGAAGGAAGAGCCAAAGGCGATGCAAAGAGAGAGAGAGAGAGAGGGAGGGAGAGAGAGAGGGAGAGAGAGGAGAGGAGGAGGGAGGGAGGAGGGAGGAGGGAGAGAATGAGGAGAGAGGGAAGACGAGAGAGGAGAGAGAGAGAGAGAGAGAGAGAGAGAGGAGAGAAGAGAAGAGAGGAGAAGAGAGAGAGAGAGAGAGAGAGAAGAGAGAGTGAGAGAGAGAAGGGAGAGAAGAAGAGGAGAAGAGAGAGAGTAAGAGAGAGACAGAGAGAAAAGGGAGAAAGGGAGAGAGAGAAGAGAGAAAAGAGAAAGAAAGAGCACAGCAAAGCAGAAAAGAGAATATAGCGAGAGAAGGCGAACGAGGGAAGAAAGAACGAGAGCGAGAAAAATAAATAAGAAACAAGAAGGGAAGGGAGAGAAAATGAGCTAAAAGAAAATAAAAAGGAAGAGAAAAAAAAGCAAGGCGCCGAAAATGTCATGGTTGATGGATGGGGCGAAGGGGGGGAGGAGGGGGGGAGAAGGGGGAGAGGGAGAGGGAGAAGGGGAGAAAAGAAGAAGGAGAAAGGGGGAAGGGGAGGAGGGGGAAAGGGGAGAAGGGAGAGGGAGAAGGGAGAAAGGGGGAGGGGAGAGGAGGAAAAGGGGAGGAGGGGAAAGGGGAGAAGGGAGAAGGGGGAAGGGGAGGAGGGGAAAAGGGGAGAAGGGGGTTGGGGGAGTGATTACAGGGCAAAAAGGGGCTGAAATGAAAGAGGAAATGGAGGAGAAACTAGAGGAGGAAAGGGGACAAGTGGCCGGGGAAATGAAGATGGAGAATGTAGGAAGAAACAGGAAGGACGATGAAACGGAGACAGACGAGGGAGAAGAGAGTGGAGAAGGAAAAGGAGAATGGTGGAGTTGGTGGAGTTGGTGATGGTGAAAAGTGAAAGGAAAGATGATGGGATAAAAGTAAGAAAACATTACTTACACAAACACATAAACACACACACACAGACACACACCTTAACCTTATGAACACAACAC